ATACAGAGATCCATACTGACTGAACACAACCGCCATTTTGGCCGCTCGCGCCGCGGACAGCAGACGATGGCGACTCTCTCCTAGAAAACTCTGGAAGAGGGGAAAAGAGTGTCCAATAACAAGCTCAACAGGCGAACAACTGATTTAGGACATTTTAGACTGTACTACCAAGTCAATATGAAGCTTTTTCTGAAGCGCAGCGAAGTCTCGGTCATTCATGGAGGTCAGTATGTTTGCCAGGAGCCCGAGAGACGTTCCAATACCCTGAAAACAACAACAACTGATTCAGAATCAAGAGTGATTTTCACACACTACAACTCCAGACCAAAGGAGTGATAGAGGTCGAGTTTCATTGTAAGAGTGTGTACTGTAGTCCAGACCTTTTTATCAGGTTGTGGAAGAGCGTAAAAGCCAATCAGAGACGCCCATATGAGTTCAGCAGCCTCAAGCCACAGACCTAATAAACACAAACATGCTACATTATACATTTATAATAACAGACACGTTTAGCCCTCGGATGATGACCAGATGATCCAAACATATAATGCAATGCAATGCAATGATTGAGAGATGAAGAAAGTCTCCTCAGAAGATGTGAGATGTTCTGGAGGCTTGTGAAGATCATTCCTCCGCTGAGGAACAGTGAAAGTAAAGCTTCTGGAAACAAACGCTCCTCAAAAGATCCTGAGGATCAGATTTGAGACTCTAAAACATGATTGATGGAGAATCAAGTAAAGCTGAGCTGCTTCAGTCCAGTAAGTGTTCATCTGGAGATATTACTGCAGTTATTCTGACCTTTACTTGATAAAAACCAGTCCAGATTCACAGCAGAAACACACGAGAAGCTCCAGCTGAAGCTGGACGTTTGTACAATTACTGGATAAAAGACTCTGAACTATCAATCAGAAGGCATGCAGTAGACTTATAAGTGTTCGTATAGAGTTAATACGTCTTCATACCTGATGCTGTACAGGACGGTCCCATCCTTGAAGATCCTCAGGAGCTTGTTTTCCGTCGTGACGTCGTGGAAGTTGGCTCCCTTCTCGTTGGCGAAGAACAGGTCTGGTTTCCAGATGGAGTCCAGCATGGACGGGTCCAGATCCAGAGAGGAGTCGGGATACTCGCTGTAGGCCAGCCGAGGGTCGTTCCACTTCTGCCGCAGGAAGATGTTCACCCTGTAGTCCTGAGACACAAGACTGCTCTGAACTCTCAGCTCACTCTTGAAATAAAGCTTTTGATCGCCATCGATGGCTCCATGAAGAACCGCAAATACTTTATCAGAGACAAATTCACAATACGATACTATTAGTGAAATGAAGTTCTTAGCAATGCATATTACTAATCAAAAATTAAGTTTTGATATATCTACGGTAGGAGATTTACTAAATATCTTCATGGAACATGATCTTTACTTAATATCCTAATGATTTTTGGCATAAAAGAAAATTCGATAATTTTGACCCATACAATGTATTTTTAACTGCTTTTGTGCTCCAGGGTCACATATTACAGTGATTTGTAAACATTTAAATTTCACATAAGGCAGTTTTTATGACATAAATGTATTATAATATAACCTTTTGATGATATAATTATGTTTCTACTCCAGTTTGTTGTTGAAATATAAACATTTAAACAGCAGATGTCGTAACTTGTTTTCATGACATATTTATTAACAATTTTAGGTTATAAAAACATTGTTTTGAAATGTTTCTATAAACGTCGAAATGTCCAGTCTTCTTGTTATTTAAAGGTTACAAAAACATTTATTCCAACATTCTAACTTTACTTTAACCCAAAATAGAATGTTATTTGAACTTTTCTTAAATATTCTAATAACGTTAAAAGTCTAGTTTTCTTGTCGTGATTATAACGTTATTTAAATGTTACAAAAACGTTTCTTAGAATGTTCAGCAAGTTTCTTCCAACATTCTACTAACTTTATTTTTCCTGGAAATATAATGCTGTTTGAACTCTTTTTTTCTAAATATTCTAATAACGTTAAAAGTCCAGTTTTCTTGTCGTGATTATAATGATATTTAAAGGTTACAAAAACATTTATTCCAACATTCTAACTTTATTTTTACCCCAAATATAATGTTATTTGAACTTTTTAAAAATATTCTAAGAACATTAAAATATCCAGTTTTCTTGTTGTGTTTATAACGTTATTTAAAGGTTACGAAGGTTAACAAAATTATAAGAATGTTCCATAAACATTACTTTAAGAATGTTTTTTCCTAACATTTATATAACTTTTAAAAACACGTGCATTAAATATTGATGAACAGGTTCAGTAAAAATATAATGAATATGTAATATAGTGCATATATTTATCAAAATGCTCTCTAGAGAGCTAAATATTGAGTTTAAGAACATTGAATGTTTTTCTAAGGTAAATGTGATGTTAAAATAACGATTCATTAAGTTTTGTTCATGCATCAAATGAAAACCGCAAAGATCGATTCTTGGGATTTAAGAATCGATTCAAATCAATAAATCGATATTATTCTTTATCGTGAAAAAAAGGTTCTTTAGAATTTTTTAAAACGTTCTTCCAAGAACTTTTTCACTGAAAGCTTCTTTGAGGAATCAAAAATGTATGTTGCTTTCAGACAGAAGACCAGCGGAGCTTCTGGTAAAATTTAAGCTTTTGAGAGCATTAAAAAACATTTTCATTAATTGAAATAAAACATTAAAAAAATCTTACATTTCAACTAGTTGAAGGCCAAGCCAGAATTACTCTTTTTCATTTAGTTTAACTTGAAATACTAAAATAACCAAAACTAAATCTTGGGATTTAAGAATCAATTCAAATCAATAAATCGATATTATTCTTTATTGTGAAAAAAAGGTTCTTTAGAATTTTTTAAAACGTTCTTCTAAGAACTTTTTCACTGAAAGCTTCTTTGAGGAATCAAAAATGTATGTTGCTTTCAGACAGAAGACCAGCGGAGCTTCTGGTAAAATTTAAGCTTTTGAGAGCATTAAAAAACATTTTCATTAATTGAAATAAAATAAAAATTAACTCAATTAAAATAAAACATAAAAAAATCTTACATTTCAACTAGTTGAAGGCCAAGCCAGAATTTCTCATTTTCATTTAGTTTAACTTGAAATACTAAAATAACCAAAACTAAATAAACAAATAAAATTGATCAAAACTAAACCGTGCCAATTTTTAAAAATGTTATTTTTTTCAGTGAAATATGCATATATTTTCTGTACTTTTTGTCATTTTAAGAGCTTTGGATCAAGGTTAGTATTAAATAGTTATTATTAAATTATTAAATAGTTATCTAAAACCATAAAAATGTTACTTGAAATAAAATAAAATTAACTGTAACTTAAATAAAATAACATTTTTCAATTTCATTTAGTTTAACTTGATATACTAAAATAGAAAAAAAAAACTAAAGACATTAAAAAAAATTTAATAAATGAAAAGACAAAAAACAATTAAATTACTATAACTAAAATTTAAATTTAAATAAAAAACAAAATTTAAAATATTAATAAAAACTATAATAGTAAAATAACACACAGCTGTTACTTGTATAGATGTTATATTGTTTTTTACAGCAGCTTTATATAAGACTCCTTAATACAGCCATAAACAACGAACCATGCATTGCTGTAATTTTTCCGACGTTACTTCAGTTCATCATAACATGCACAGCAAAGCCATTCAGTGGCTTTATCAGCATTTCTGTGTGCTTTTGTTAAAGGTTTAGCTTGTGAAGGGACTATAGAAATCCCCGGTCTTCATTAGATGAAGCTCTTTGAAAACGGTGTTGAATTAATGAATTAACGAGGCTTTCTGTTCCACTTGTTACAAGCAAATAATGGCGTAACAAAAAGATTCAGCCTATAGAAATCAAGATAATTAACTGGTGAATATAAAGTAGCATAATAATTTATTGTAGCATACATTTTTGTGTGTGCGTGTGTATTTTTAAATGATTTACAGTATCTTATATAATATATAGTATAACATATATTATAAATTGTATAAATGTATTTTAAAGTAAAATATACTATATATTTTTTATTTTTAAATACATTTATATAATTTATCATATTTTATACATGAAAGATAAAAACATTTTTTATCTATTTTAAATATATTTTATAAATTTTATATCTATATTTATGTATTATATTTTATTTATGTATTATATGTAATACCTTAAATATAAACAGGAACAAACTGTAAGACAGTAAATAAACAATAACTCCTGTCAATTTCTCTTTTTAGCAAGGCGTAATGACAAACACTTACCATAGTGGTCTCTGCCACTGAGCCGAAGCTGTTGATGAATATATTGCACGTGACGTTCACAGGAGGACCTTCACAGGAGAACAACATCATGTTAAACACCAAAGAATTCAGTAACTTTAGCATGTTAAGCCTAAATTCACCATTCATGACGGGGGTTGGTAAGATTTAGTCTCTTCTGCTCACCAAGGCTCCATTTATTTGATCAATAATACAGAAAAAATTTTGAAAAATTATTACAATGTAAAATAGCCGATTTCTATGTGAATATATTGTAAACTGTAATTTATTTCTGTGATCGAAGCTGTATTTTCAGCATCATTACTCCAGTCTTCAGTGTTCTTCAGAAATCATTAATATGCTGATTTGCTGCTCAAGAAACATTTCTGATTATTATCAATGTTGAAAACAGTGTTGACGAATATTGAAATAGCAAAATATATTTTAATATTTTTAGTTTTAGTTTTTTATATTTATTTTATTTTAATATTTGATAATATATTTAAGTCAAATATTTTATTTCCGCTTTATTTCAACTAACAACATTTTTTTAATAATTTAATGTTTAGTTTTTTATATTTATTTGATTTTATATTTGATAATATATTTAAGTTTAATATTTTATTTCAGCTGTATTTCAACTAACAAAAATGTTTTAATAGTTTTATTTTTATTTTTTAAAATATTTGATTTTATATTTGATTATATATTTAAGTCTAATATTTTATTTCAGCTTTATTTCAATTAGCAAAAATGTTTTAGTGTTTTAGTTATCAATAATAATTTGGCTTTACTGTCACCTTTGATCAACTGAATGCATCCTTGCACAGTAGTGTAATAGATATTTGACAATAACTGATTATATATCTAACTCTATATAGTTATGATCCCTGTCTACATTTCACACAGCATCGTTTTTTCGAGCAGACTGTAGCCTGTCATGCATGTTGAAAATCATGAAAGGAGTTTATTAAGGTGCAGCTTTCTAAAAATAACCCATTAGCTGCGCCTCGGAGGTATTTTGAACCTCGTCAATGTTTTCTAACAAGGTTGTGTTTTAATCACTCCTGGGCACAAACACACATCCACGCCAAACTAAACTGGAAGAGATCGTCTGAATGAAAGCTGGCACTCGTCTGCTGTAGAGCGAAGGAGATGGAGACAGACGTATTGAGCTTCAGCTTTAATAGCCATCCTTCAGCTCGCACTCAAACCAAATATAAATAATACAGCTCTGCTTATGTGTTCATTAGTCACCATTCACTTCCAAAATACACTGAGGTAAAACTAAAGTTCCTAATAAGTTCAAAATAATTTTGTTTTCATTTTTATTTATGTATATATAGATGTGTGTACGTGTGTGTGTGTGTGTGTGTGTGTGTGTGTGTGCGCGTGTGTGTATTTATTCATTTTATTTCAGTTTTGGTTATTTTTGTACATCAAGTTAAACTTAATGAAAATGAGAAATCTTGCCTTGGCAACTAGTTGGAATAAAATAAATGCAAAAATGTTTTATTTCAGTTAACGTGTATTTTATTTCAAGTAATGAAAACATGTTTTTTTATTGTTTTAATTTTAGTTAACTATAATAACTCTGAGTTGTACGGACTACTATAATGATGCTTTTATATTGGTTCATATTGTCAATATATCACCTAAAAGTCAACAAAGAAATTATAAATGATATTTTGCATAAAGATAATGAAGCCTATTGTCACGACACACACACGGGGAGCACAGGAACGAACGCGGAGACGAGGAACAAAGTAAATTTCAAAGATTTAATAAACAAAAGCTGGGAATACAGAGACACGGGATACACTGAGGACACGAAATTACATTCAACAGCGGACAGGAAACAAGGGGCAAAACATACTTTATATAAACAGGAATAGGAACAGGAAAAACCAAATATGGGCATAAACATCAACCTGGAGCACATGGGGGAGAAAAACACAACACGAGACATGGAACAAAGTCTTACACTACTCCCCTTCCCGGAAGGCGCGTCCCACGCCATACAACATCCAACGGGGACAGGGGGCGGGCGCTCTGGAGATCCCTCAGGACAGACACGAGACGGCAGGCCTCCAGAGTGATACCCGTTTGGGGTGCCATGGCGGAGTAGGGAACTCAGGAGGCTATGGCGGATCCGACAGTCCAGGAGGCCATGACGATGTAGGGAACTCAGGAGGCCATGGCAGATCTGGAGATCAGGAGCCCTGCCTGGGCTCGACGGGGGATCAGGAGCCCTCCCTGGGCTCAACGGGGGATCAGGAGCCCTGCCTGGGCTCAACGGAGGATCAGGAGCCCTCCGTGGGCTATACTCAGGAACAAGAGCCCTCCGTGGGCTATACTCGGGAACAGGAGCCCTCCATGGGCTATACTCGGGAACAGGAGCCCTCC